AATCCCTAGCTCTAAGAGAGATGCAAATTAAGACAACTATGAGATATCACCTTACCCCAGTAAGAATAGTAAAATTTAACAGAACAGCAAACATCAAATGCTGGCGAGGTTGTGGCGAAACTGGAAACCTTATTCACTGTTGGTGGGAGTGTAAAATGGTGCAAGCACTACAGAAGACTATATGGCACTTTCTTAAAAAGTTGCAAAAAGAAGTACCATTTGACCCAGCAATTCCACTACTGGGAATATACCCTAAAGAAACCATAACCATCACCCAACAGATATCTGTACACCCATGTTTATTGCAGCTTTGTTCACAATAGCAAAGAGTTGGAAACAACCTAAGTGTCCATCAACAAATGAATGGAAAGAGAAGCTCTTGTATATTCACACAATGGAATACTATGCTGCATTGAAAAACAAGGAACTCATGAAATATTATACAAAATGGGTGACCCTGGAGGACATTGTGCTGAATGAAATATCTCAGTCACAAAAGGACAAAGATTGCATAGTGTCACTGTTGTAAAAAGGGAGTGACATCGGGGCTGGGGGAAGACTGAGAAAGAAGGGATAAGTAATGTATACTGCATTGAAATAAATGAGGGAGAGAACTGTTAAAAAGTGATATAAGATTAGGTATTATTATCGTGACAGGAGGCCCAAAGGAAGGCTGCACAATGAGGTTAACTTGGGGGAGGTACTGTATAATAATGAAAGAATTTTTCTTACTTTTCAAAGAAAAGAGGGAATGAGGAAAAGAGTGGGCAGGGAGAAAAGTGCAACAATGAATGAATGAAAATCCAAAGTCTCTGTAACCGTTCATTATAACTAGTAAAAAAAATAATTTAAGGAGAAAAAACTATAATGCACAGGAATAATTAAGTGAAGCACAATGTGAATGAAGAGTAGAGTGAAGCACAACGTATATGAACTTTGTAAGCAAATCAATATGAAATAAAGAGGAAACAAATAGAAAGGGAAACATTGAAAACTCTGAGAAGAATCCCTCTTCACTTATTTCTTGCTGCCTACTTTTTAGATGTCCTTTGTTTATAAATTGTGTTTTAGAGTCAGTGTTTATACCCTGTACTCTCTTTACCACTCCACTGTCTTTGAGTTTGAATAACTTCAATATTAATCCAGGTTTGTTCCTGAGCACCCATGTACCATATATACCGTGGGTGACAGGGCAGCTCTGTAAGTATTCACCTCCGAGCATGTTCAGACTCAAAACAGACCAGTTGGTTCCTACTCATGATACCATTCACAGAGTTTGAGACTGCAAATCTCTCTATAGGAGGAGAATATAGTGAATACTCCACTTTCCAACAAATTGCTCAAATCAGAGTCTTGCTTATCTTCCTTACTTGCCTCTACTCATAAACTTCAACTATTTATCAGTGAAAATAATTTGTAAATTCTAGCTTCAAACGATCACTATTTCTCATGTCTCTACTCCCAATACTTCATTACAGTCTGAGCTGCCATCATTTCTTTCTTCTTTATCTATGAAAATCTCCAACAAGATCTTCCTCAGTCTTCATTGTTGATGTGCAATAATGTGTTTTCAGCAGAGAGAGTGGACTTCATAAAATAAATAATAATGATATCATTCATTACTCAGTTAAAAATGCCACAATTGTTTCCACAGAAGTTGACTATCTAGAAACCACAAATATTGCTTTGTGTAATAAACATTCACACACTCCTGCATTTCTAGTAGTTAAATTTATAAATATAGTATAATTCTTTTTTTATAACACAAAAATATCAATCACATCACATTAATTATTCAGTTCACTGTTTCTCATGAAATAAACATACGTGCAGGTAAATATGTCTAAAACGTGAAAAACAAATTAATAAGAAAAAGACTTTGCAGCAATTAGATGGTATTCTTTACATTTATAACGTTAATTATAACAATTTATTACAGCTAGTGTATTAACGTTTGACTGTGTGGATCATAATAAACTGTAGCTGAGTCTGAGAAGAATGGGAATCCCAGAACACTTGATCGTGCTAATGAGAAAACTATACTTGGACCAGAAGGCAGTCCAGTCATCAGAACAAAGCAAGGAAACACTGCATGGTTCAAAATTGGAAAGGGTGTATGCCAGGGATGTGTCCTGTCTCCATACCTTTTCAGCATGTATGCAGAACAGATTATCCAGGAGGCTGGGCTCTATGAGAAGTGTGGCATCAGGATTGGTGGAAGAATCATCAACAATCTGTATTATGCAGATGACACAACCCTGCTTGCTGAAACTGAGGAAGACTTAAAGCACTTGCTACAGCAGGTCAAGGACTGCAGCACTGAGTATGGACTGAGGCTCAATATCAAGAATACAAAAATTCTCACCACTGGGCCAATTGGCAGCATCAGGATGGATGATGAAGAGATTGAGATTGTTCACAGCTTTAGTTTGCCTGGCTCCACAGTTAACACTCTTGGCACCAGCAGCCAAGAAAAAAAAGAAAGTCTGGGAAAGTCTGCTGTTAAGGACCTCTCCAAAGTGCTGAAAAGCAATGGTGTCACTCTGGAGACTAAAGTGTGCCTGATACAGGGCTTGGTCTTTACAATTACTTGTTATGCTTCAGAGAATTGAACAATGACTAGGGAGGATAGAGGAGAATCGATGCCTTTGAGCTGTGGTGGTGAAGAAGAGTATTGAGGGTAACATGGACTGCTAAGAAAACAAACAGGTTCGTCCTTGAGAGGATTAAACTGGGCTGCTCCTTGCAGGCAAGGATTCTGAGGCTTCTTCTGACATACTCTGGACATGCTGCAAAAAGGGACCAGTCCTTGGAGAGGGACATTATGCTAGGGAGAGTGGAGGGACAGCGCAGGAGAGAAAGACCATCTATGAGGTGGATTAATTCAGTGACTGGGGTAATTGGGGTGGGGGTGTCAGAGACAGTGAGACTGGCATAGGACAGAGCAGGGTTTAGGGCTGTTGTACATAGGGTCGCTATTAGTCGCAGGTGATTCGATGCTACATAACAGTTGTGTTTTAACTTGGGTGCCTAAAATATGTGACTGCTAAGAAGTACTCTTTTAAAATTATTCTTCTACTTTTGTTCTGCTTGTACTCTTCATTTTTATATGAATAGTTAAGATTTCACATGTTTCATATTACATACATTTGTCTGCAAATGATAGTAAAATTTAGCTCAATGAAATATGCAATATGTCTGGTCCCAGAGCAAAACTGAAAAGATTACAAGTGTGAAATGTATTTAACAATAATTATTTACAGGTGTGAAGATGAAGACTAACTTGGATTAAATAAGGATAAAGATAGTTTCAGTGTTCTAATCACTTTTTTCATCTCGGACCAATTGGCAGCATCAGGATGGATGGTGAAGACATTGAGATTGCACACAGCTGTAGTTTGCTTGGCTCCATAGTCAACAGTCTTGGCACCAGCAGCCAGGAAATTAAAAGGCGCGTTGCAATGGGAAAGTCTGCTGTTAGGGACCTCTCCAAAGTACTGAAGAGCAATGGTGTCTCTCTGGAGACTAAGGTGCATCTGATACAGGCCATGGTCTTCGCAATCACCTGTTATGCATCAGAGAGTTGGACAATGACCAAGGAGAATTGATGCCTTTGAGCTGTGGTGCTGGAGAAGAGTATTGAGAATACCATGGACTGCTAGGAAAACAAACAGATTTGTCCTGGAAAGGGTTAAACCGGGTGGCTCCTTGGAGGCAAGGATTCTGAGGCTCCATCTAACATACTTTGGACATGTTGTGAGGAGAGACCGGTCCTTAGAGAGGGACATCATGCTTGGGAGGGTGGAGGGACAGCACTGGAGAGGAAGGCCTTCTATGAGGTGGATTGATTCAGTGACTGGGATAATTGGGATGGGAGTGTCAGAGACAGTGTGATTGGCACAGGACAGAGCAGAGTTGAGTCGCAGGCGACTCAACGGCACATAAGAACAACAACAACAATGGGGGGGGGGAAGGACCATACCACGGATGATTTCTGATTACTAGAGGAATTGTCTAATTTACAGTGAGAAAATTAAAGAGATATTTTGGAATGAGAAGTAATGCAATACAACATAGGAGATACTCATGATAGATGCTGTGTGGATAGTAGACTAAGTGCTATTCTTACGGTTGGAACAAAGCAAACAGGCTTGCTACTCTGGGAGATGGGGGGGAGGTGATATGTGAAATGATGGTGGTTGGGATTTTAATAAATATATTATGGTATGTGTGAGAGAGAACTCAAGGTTGTCTACCACAATTTTGACCTGGATGCCTGGCCATTCACTAAAGTGGGATGGGGGACCGGGAGGGGTTGGGGAAAAGTTGCTCTTTTGCATTTACCTCTCTTCTCAGTCAGTCAGTACTGAAAACAGAAGCGGATTCATTGATACTTTTGTTTGAAATGTTATGTGCTAAAATCATCTAACAACATCATTAATATCACATGCAAATAAAATACTGCTGAAGATAATTAAAAAATGGTTAGAACAGTATATAGACAGAGATCTACCAGATGTTCGAGCCAGATTTAAAAGAGACCGTGGTGTCAGGGATATCATTGCTGATGTCAAATGTATCCTGGTGGGAAGCAAAGAATATCAAAACAATGTCGACTTTTGCTTACTGACTATGCAAAGGCATTAGACTGTATGGATCATGACAATTTATACCTAACATTGAGAAGAATGGAAATTTTAAAACATTTGATTGTGTGAAATGTACACCTAGACCAAGAGGCTATTGAATAAAACAAGGGAACACTGCATGTGATCATAAGGGGATTTTTATATTTCTAACCTTCCAAATAATATCAGTAATTTCTTATAGAAGTAAGGGGTTCTGTAACATACCTTAGCATGAATAAATACAGTTTCATATATATTTTTAAAGAGTAAAAAAGGAAATACCTTACCTATTTAAAAGATGATATTTATGTGATGAAAGGTATTTATTCAAATGTGAGTTAATCTATTTTCTGTCTGTCATTTATCTCTCAGATCCCAAGTTTGTAAGTGCCCACCTCATCCCAGAGAGTGACAACCCTGAAGATGACAAAATATATTTTTTCTTCCGTGAAAATGCACTAGATGGGGATCGCTCTGCGAAGGCCACCTATGCTAGAATAAGTCAGATATGCAAGGTGAGGCAGAGAGAAAACACTGAAGAGCACGTCACTGTGCAGTCACAGTTTTTCTTTCTTTTTTCTGTTTATTTATATTCACCTATTTATAAAAATATTGAATGCCATATTTTTTAAAGTGTGATCCTATCAAATTTTTAAGTAGTAAAAAAGTGATTGAAAGTATTTGTAACTTCTGAAGTGTAATTCTACATAGCAAAAGATATCGAAAAACATATAATGCAACTAGTGTCATTTCCTAACTACATTAATAACAGTCTAAAATTCTAGAGAATGACTTTGCTGCCTATTATCTAGTAGAAAATATGAACTAATCTATGTTTTTTATAATTTGTGCATTCTCTGTAAATAGAACAAAATATGTTCAACTCAAGAAAATGACAATAGAAATTCAAATCCCTTTCATACATTAAAATATTTTTTAATCAAGTATCAAGATATTTAAAAACACAAAGTTTTTTGTTAGCTTCTTTTTTAACCTAATCACTGCCCAATGATTAGTATATTCAGTTAATGGACAATTAATAAATTTTAGCATCTAAGCATACAGATAAAAGATGAAACACTAAGAATTTTTTTCACAAAACATCTTATTAAAATACCAGTTAGAGAGGTTTTCAACGTCCCTATAACTAATATATAAATCACTGTTACATTTTTAAGGAACCATATGATAGTTATAAAATATTATTTTATAAGACTACCCTTGCCACTAAATACATATAATATAAAAAAACCCACAAACCTTTATTGCTGCATTTGGGCTAAAACCAAATTCTATTAGTGGGGAGGAGGAACTTATAAAAGGTTTTCTCTGGAATAAGTTTCCTTTATTAAGATTTCTCCAAATATTTTCTCTGCATACTATCTTTAAAATCTAATAACTTGAAATGTTTAAGATTATAAAATACAGCAGGTTAGGAAGTTTTAATTTGGAGTTTATTTTTAGTATAACTGTTAAGGCGATGGATCCTCATTGTATGAGGATTTTGTTCCAAGTACTATGACCTCACCTAGGAAGATAGGTAAGATCTCAATGAATGCCCAGGATGGAGATAAAACAAACAAACCTGAGTGTAAAATAACTAGTAACTGGAAATGGCTTTTTATGTTAAAGGATATTATTACTGCTATTTCCTTTAATAAGATTTTGGTGAATGATTCAACCAAAAACCTTAATGAAAAGTGTCATAGTGTTTCTTTTATCTAGACATTTTAAATGATTATCAAAACTCTGAAAATGAAGAATAGAATCTTGTCTTGAGATGCAAGAAATATTTGAGCTTATAATTTTCACGCATGGTCTCTAAACTGATGTTCACTCTTTTAGAATGACTTCGGGGGCCACAGAAGTCTGGTGAATAAATGGACAACATTCCTCAAAGCTCGTCTGATTTGCTCAGTGCCAGGTCCAAATGGCATTGACACTTTCTTTGATGAATTACGTAAGTAGATGGTAGTGCCACACAAGGAACATCTATTATCATGAGTGTCAAAAATATGACAAACTCTCCTCAATTTTGTTTTTAAACAGAGGATGTATTCCTAATGAATTCTAAGGATCCTAAAAACCCACTGGTATATGGAGTCTTTACAGCTTCCAGGTAAGTAACTTTTACTGATTTTTTTAAATTATAGAAACTTAATTTATTAAATATTTGAAGGGACAGTGTTGCTTCAACCTTTGAACTGTTGTACATTCATGGATGACTGAAAAAAGCAATGACATGAATATAGCTTTTAATTTATTTAAAATTTTAGCAAATAATGTCATCATTACGGTAAAAAAGAGCAAGGACTATGTGGGGACTGCCATATGTGACATTAATCAGCTTCACAAATGGGAGTTGTGTCTTATCTCCAACCTCTGTGTCTCAAGTTCATGATAGATGTTGCTGTCCTAAGTGTAGCTGGAATGAAAAGGACATCCTACCTTGTCTTGTTCTTGTTCAATGGCACCAGGAGATTTGTCTGTCTCTTCTGGTTGTCTTGCTCAATTCAGTGGCAAGACTAGCCATCCTCCTTGTGAATTATTGAGACTGGCCAATCCCCTTGTGGATAGGCTCACACTGCTCTATTTGGATATTCCCACCCATCTATGTAGCATCCTCTCTCCTTAATATGGTGCTAAATAGCTCAGCATAAAACAGTTAATCTTTTAGCTAGGAAAGACACTTTTGGATGATAAACCTTAGACACTCAGAATGGTAAACTGAATGATGAAATAGGTTAAAAATATATATCATAAAATATTTATATCTTTGGCTTTAAAAATATGAGTTAATTTTAGAGCCTTATACAGAGACTTGTATATTGTGAACATGTTGTTAGGAGAGGCTATTTTTTTTAAAGAGACATGCTAAGAAAGGTTGAGAATCAGCAGAAAAGAGTAATGACACTCAAAGAGATGGATTGGCACAGGGACTGTTAAGCTCAAGTGTGTCAGAGGTGATGAGGATGGCACAAAAAAGGACAAGGTTCAGATCTGCTTTTTATAAAGTTGCTAAGAGTCATACTAGATGTGATACTGAATGAAAGAAAATATATTCTTAGACATAATCTTGTATTCTTGTACAAAAGTAATTACACTAGACATTACCTTTCTCATTGGCCTGTTTACATGAGCAACTGTGGGAAATAATATACCCACATAAGAAATTATGACAATCCTCCTAGCAGACTTGGTCCTCTCGTTGTTATCTACTCCACATATTGGTGCTTTCTTTTCTTTTCTTTTCTTTTTAAATACACACAACTATGGAACTGACATAGGAATTCACAGGTTTAGAGAAGGTTGATTATTCACAAATGAAACCATTTTAGATATTTTTAAAAATTATTAATATGATATAAAATTTTCAGTTATACTTTTTAAACATATAAACCTTGAAAAAAAAATCAAAGTTTTTCTTTTCAATAACACAATCTTTTCTTTTTCTTTTTTTCTTTTTTTGAGACTCAGTCTTGTATTTTAGTCGGCTTACAAAAACCAAATAGAAAAGGGGGGAAATGAATAAAAAATGGAGAAAAGGAGTCAAATGCCTGAGATCTTAACACTAGATTTGATCATGAGGCCCATTGTATAGTGTATAATATAAAGGATTACTAGCCAAATAATTGACATTCAACTACATCCAGTGCCCTTTGTAAAAAAGATGCATGGTCTCCTTCCATAAGGACTCACAGCCTCAGAAACCTGATGGAGGGTCACTGTGTGTATGAACTGACTGGGAGTCACTGTGTTAGGTGTTATTTTCACTTAACAATCTCAATTTTAAAGTTTTTTCCTCCTTTCCATTTGTCTCACTCCTTCCATTCTGCCTTCCCTTCTCCTCTCTTCTTCTCACCCTCTGAGGCTGCAAAAGCCTGATAGCATACAGTGAGGGATTAACACACACGTCCAAACAAGTTTACTCAGAAAGTTCTAAATGCATTTATAAATTGACTGGACGTTTTAACTGATAAAAATCCATAAGGATTAAGAAACTCATATTACTCTGCTGTTTTGTGCCGTTGAGTTGGAACCCTGAGCCACTGACTCTGCAGCAGGTTTTCAGAAAGAGTAAATTGCATGGAAGGAGACTGCGCGTCTGCCCTCTAAGCGACTGGTGGATTCCACCTGCCTGTCTTTAGGTTGGCAGTGCAATGCCTTACCAATAAGCCTCCAGCGCTCCATCTTAATATTGTTATTGTTAGTAGCTATTGAGTGGAGTATGATTCATAGCAACCGTATGAACACCAGATCTGAGCCTTGGCTATCTGTGCATGCTCACTGTCTCTGATATATTTGATCCCATGTTACAGTGATTGTGTCAACTTATTTCACTGAGAGTCTTCCTCCCTTTTTCTGACCCTCTACCTTTCCAAACATGATGTCTATCCAAGGACTAGAGTCTCCTAACAACGTATGCAAAGTATGTGAGATGAAGCTACCTACCATCCTCACCTAAAGGAAGCGTCCCGGTTGTACTTTTCTCTAAAATATAATTGTTCTCCTGGAAGTCCATGGGATATTAAGTACATTCTCCAAAACCACATCTCAAAAGAATCGATTACTCTTCTGTCATCCTTATTCTCTCTCAGTTGCATAGTGAGTAAATTAAGAAGACCTTGGTTTGGGTCATAGGCACCTTGGCCATAAACTAATATCATTGCTCCTTAGAACCTTGGGGAGATAACTAACAGTTGACTTTTCCAACACAACATGTCTTCTGATCTTTTGACTGCTGGTATGAGGGTGTTGATTGTGAACCCAAAGAAGGCAAAATCTTTGAGAATTTCATTATTTTATCCACCTATCGGCATTATCTATTTGCCCTGCACTGAAGACTTTTATCTTCTTGATGTTGAAATGTAATACATGTTGAAGTCTATAATCTTTGAGCTTGTGCAGCAAGTGTTTCAAGTCCTCTTATAATTTGTATAATACAAGTCATTGTTAAGTGTTCCTCTAATTCTGATGTCACATGTCTCTTGATAAGGTACACTTTCACCAATGATTTGCTCATCACAGAGACTCAATAAGTATTGAGAAAGCATACAGCCTTGGTGCACATCTTTCTTAATTTTAAATCATGTAGTAATTTTAAATCCTTTACTCTGTTTGCATAACTGCCTCTTGGTATAAGTTTTATATGAACACAAAAAAATGTTCTGTGGTTTCTACTCTTCTCAATGTTAGCTATAATTTTTTTGCAATCCACTTAGTCAAATGCATTTGTATAGTCAATTAAGAAGATTGATATCCTTCTGATATTCTCAGCCACGATCTGTCTGATACCATTAATTAATATAACTTCATGTAATTTTCCAATATGTAAGTACTTCCTCCTCTTTTCCATAAAACAGAATGACAATTAAAGAATGTAATGTTAAAAATGGAGATGTATTAATTCATTCTCTCTGCATCCTACTTGCTAAATGTAGTGATCTTCAGTGTATACAAGTTGTTGCATGTGACTTTCTGTAGCTTTCAATTCAGCAGGGCCAGAAAAGCTGCCTTTGTACAAATTCCTGGGTGATGGTCGTGCTATTCATCTGGGAAACCACATATAAAAAGCCATTAGGTTGATGAGTAAAGTGACATCTAATATCTACCTCCGTGAAATAGACATTTGATTGTTGTGTGAGTCTTAATGTAAATAATTATAACTGAATTTTTCCATTATGACTTGAGTCATTCTATATGTGAGCAAAATGGAAAAAATAAGATTATCTATTGTCATATATTAGATAAGTCTTAATTTGTTGTGTATTCTTCTTTGAAAATATTGTTACTAACTTCTATAAATGAATATTGAGGATTACTTTTTCTGTACCATTCAAAATGCAAATGGTGCAGCAGAATTGAAGTTAGGCTTTGTCTCTTCCCTCATGAAGTTTACCATCTATGAGACATTGTCCACATATGGAGATTTCCACTAATAAACTTAGAACACATGGTTTTTATTTAAAATGATTCAATACATTCTTTTCTGTGGAGAAAGATCACGTAAAAGATAAGCATTCTATATTTTAAATGTGCACAATTGTTTTATATCTTTCAACTCTTTTTCTTCAAGGTGCATTTACATAAGCAAAATAAATCAAGAAATTGTGGCAGTTCAATGGCAGACTTCCAGTCACTTCAAATACCATCATTTTTTTCCTAGCAAAATTATAGATAGAATTGTTAAAATTCTCTACTCTAAGTTATAATAGCTACTAACTAAAGAAATTTTTGTGTGTATTGGAGATATGATTTTAATTTTTAACAAAAATCAAACTGTTATTTGATATAATAGACTCATGGTTTGAGAGTTAAAAATAATGCAATGTCATACATCACTTCACCCTGGCTTTTTCACAAATTCCAACTTATGAAATGACTTTTTAAACTTTCTTGTCAAAAGTGTCATCATTTCAATCATCATTTCATCATTCCATTCAATCATGATGCTTACAGGCTTAAAGCTTATATTATTTCTCTCTCAAAATTAAATATTAGCTTTTATAACTTCATATGTGTATGAGTTTTTCCATCAGAATTTGTCTGTGAATACACATTTTAAAAATATTAAAGAACGTTTCATCCATATTTTTCTTTTAGAGAAATTATTATTTCTTTCTTGGTATATTGTTAAAATATATATATGTGACTAAAATATAATGATGTTATACACCAACTTAGAGCCAACTTATAGCTGACCCTCCAGCAGGTTTTCAGAGGCTGTAAATTATATTAGAGGAGACTGTGAATCTTTCTCATGTGGAATAGCTTGAGGATTTGAATTTTCTGCCATTGGATTTACAGTGCACCTACACAAGGCCACCAGAGCTCCCTTTTACCAATCTAGTTCTCTTAATATTACAGCCAGTAAAACTGTGGAGTAGTCCAATTGCTTAACATGTGGGGTCAAATAAATTTGACAGTAACAGCAACAGCAACAAACAAATTCCCAAACACTATTGGAGATCTCACGAACTTGGTATTTAAGTTTTGAAAATGTGTTATGGAAATTGAAGACCTTAGTTTCTTTTTTTTTTTTATGTGGTATTTGTTACTGTTTGTTTGTTGTTTTTTTTTTTTTTTAATTTTATTAGTTTCAATGAACATTCACAGGGATTCTGGGCTTTCACTCCTTCATTGCCACACCATTCTCTCCACCCTCCTCCCCAGTCT